GCCGAGATATTTGCCAGTTCCACCTTCTTTAACTATCCCAAGGTGAGATTTGACACGGGATCGTGTCTCCTGGGGCGTTTTAGTCGCAAAGGTGATGGAGGATTTATTGGCATTTATCATCTGGCCCGAGGCCTGTTCGTAGGACCGGAGAATATCCATGAGAGCTGAGCAGCTATCAGGGTCCGTCTTGAGAAAGAACATAGTGTCGTCGGCGAAAAGAAGATGGTTAATCCGAGGGCAACGTCGAGCAGCTCGGATCCCTGCGAGATGTCCGCTCTGCTGGGCCTGGATGCAGAGCCCCGATAACACCTCACTGCAGAGGATAAAAATGTACGGGGAGAGGGGGTCTCCTTGCCTTATTCCTCTTGACGGTGTTACTTTCCCATGTGCTGTGTCGTTGAGCAAGAAGGAGTAAGATACTGTGCTGCAGCATTGTACAATAAGATCAGTCCAAGCGGCTGAGAATCCCATACGCAGAAGCACCTTGCGGATAAAGGACCATTCCAATCGATTGTAGGCCTTGCTCATGTCCGTTTTGACCGCCATAGCACAGTTTTTAACAGCTCCGGATTGTTTCAGAAAGTGTAACAGCTCATGCGTGATGAGCACGTTATCTGTAATAGCACGTCCGGGAACAAACGCCGATTGATTTTCGGAAATAACCTTCTGCAACACTGGCTTTAATCTCAGTGACAGCACCTTCGAGATGATTTTGTAAGTAACGTTACACAGCGCAATAGGGCGATATTTTGCTACCCGCTTAGAGGCTGAAGTCTTGGGTATCAGTCGGATGTGAGTTTCATTGATGTGCATAGGTAAGAATCCGGTGCTGAAAAACTCTGTAACATCTATAGCTACCGCCGCTGCCACAGTCTCCCAATTTGCTTGAAAAAAACAAGCAGAGAAACCATCCGGACCTGGCGCTTTATCCGGGTGGATCGAAAACAATGCTCTCTTAATCTCTGCCATAGATGGAGTTTCAAGCAGTTTCTCATTAATCTCTGGTGAGATACAGGGTTTAATCGCACGAGAAATTGTTGCATCCACTGCATTATCATCCTGTCCTGTAGAGGTTGTCGTAAAGATATGCTGGAAGTATTCGCCGATCTCTTGAGCAATAAGTCCTTCCTCGAACAAGGCATTTCCTGATGATTCTTCAAGCACAGAGATTCTGTTGCGGGCTCCTCTGCCTTTTGCCACGGCATGAAAAAACCCGGAATTTTTGTCTCCCGCGACCAGCCACATAAGGCGACTTCTTTGCCGCCAAAATTCCTCTTCTGCTCGATAGGCTGAAAGAAGCTCGGAATTTATCCTCGAGATCATGGAGTCGCAACCCGTTGGGTTTGTCATCACATCGTTAAGCTCCTTCTGTAACCTTTCGATGGTGACCTTGCTATTCTTTGCTTGTTCCCGACTCCACGCGGATATAGCTCTCCGACAGAGGGATAGCCGGTAATCTACCGATGCATCCAGTTGAGATTGCCAAACCTCTGTGATTAATTGTTTCACCTCCACATTGTCCCTGAGTCGTCTATCAAACCGGAAGAGCGTCCGTTTCTTCTGTTTTTTTGAGTCAAAAAACGACATGAGAGGTCTGTGATCCGACCCTTGAAACTCCAAGTAGTGGCTGCGAGCACTGGGGAAAATCTCAGACCAACTGCTATTGGCTAACGCTCTGTCAAGCCTGCAGTAAACTAAGTGCTTTCCACGCTTGCCTCTCCATGATAAAAAATTACCCGAATGCTTGAGGTCAAAGAGGTCATGTTGAGCCAGAAAATTACGGAACATTCCAAAGATGCCTTCAGCTCGTAGGGGTCCTCCTGATTTCTCACCATTATCAACGATTTCATTCAAGTCCCCCGCTAGAAACCAAGGAGTAATACGATCCGAAAACGTATTCGACAGAGACACCCAAGAAGCGCTTCTATTGGCAACCTCAGGTTCGCCATAGACGAAAGAAGCATGAAAACTAACTCCTTTATGAGTTATTAAAGTATCGATAAGATTTCTGCTGGAGCTCAGAACTTGGACATTCGATTCATTTTTCCACATAAGGAGAAGGCCTCCGCTTCCAGTATCAGTGGCTGAGACAATAAAATGTGAATCAAAACGAAGCTCTTTTAATTTATCCAGCACAACATCATCAGCATTTTTTGTTTCCATAAGGAACAGAAAATCGGGAGAATGTTTTTTATCAATCTCCCTAATCCGCTGGACTGTTATGGGGTTCCCTAAACCACAACAGTTCCAGCTCAAAATAGCTAAGGAAGAGGAGGAGTTTGCCGGTGAAAATCCACCGGGTTGTCTCCTACTGCTAAGGATTCTGTAGTGGGTGGTCTTGGGGGAAGATGAGTAGAGCTAGAGCTAGCTCCTGTAACTCTCGTGGTAGTCCTTCTGCGAGCTGTACCTGCAGTTCCCCCTGCTGTTCTGCCTCCCTGCTGTGTCCCATTAGAGCTTCCTGGCGAGGCATGGATGGTAGACATTAAGCTCCTACGTGAAGAAGATCCAGAGAAAACCTTCGGGCTTATACGGAGATCTTTTGGTTCCTTAGGTTTTGCCGGACGTCCTCTCTTCCTTCCCGTTAAATTTTTAGACGCTTGTTTGGGGTGAGCTGTCGAAGCTGCAGTGGAAATAACTGGTGGTAAAGCCGGGTTCTGATGCATATCTTCCCCTATTAGCGCACTTGATTCGCCAATATTGTCCACAACGGGATCGGATCTAATAGGGAGATGTGCTTGCATCATATGCTCCCCATAGCTATTAACTTGCTCAGTTTGTGCCCTTATGGCAGCGTTAATTATCCCTTGAGCTGTTTCCTCCATAAGTCCTTGAGCATCTGTTGCAAGGACTCTCTATTTGCGGGCTGCACTTTCTACTGGATCCGCACAGTTTGTGTACATGCGGGTAATACGTTGAAGGTCTTCCATGACTTCCTCCGTAGATGGGACGGGAGGTAAGGGGGGGAAATCATGCGCCTCCAAATTTCTCCCAACCGGGAGTCTATTACTCGTGGCTGAGTTTTGTAGCTCGGTATTGATCAAGTCTCCTGTCGCTTGCTTAGCTTTCCAGATAGTGTTTCCTTGTTGTTCGGGAGACAATCTTGGGACGCTACCTCTTCGGTTATCAATACGAGAGTATTGTCTATCCTCTCTTCTTATAGTATAGGGTGGGGAGTTCCCATACATGGGTCTGGCTGGGTAGGTCCTGGGCTGTCTCTCCGGTTCAGGGATGTCCTCATCACGGATTGGGGCCAGCGTGATTTTGTTCCTAACTCCAACAGTAGTAGATACCGTAGCAACACGTTGCCCAAAGGGGTTCCCATGCCTATCTACTCGTCGGGGGAACTGATCTCCCGGGACATCACTGTCTTTTGATATCTCTCCACCGTAGTTAGGGGTTGGTTTCCGCGGAGGTTGGTTTCTATTGTTCCTAAAACCTTGAGCTGCAGGCGGAGGGCTATAAGCCTTGTGGCGTAAGGGTCTGTCGCTCTTCTCCCTCTGGAAAGCCGAAGGAGGGTTAGGTTCCTTGTGGCGCAAGTTGCCATCTTGTACACGCTCGGGGCAGAGGGCTCTTAGGTGAGTGAGTCGGTTACAGTAAGAGCAATGATTACCAAGATTTTCGTAGTCTAGTGCCAGAGTAGTCTCCTCTCCTGAGTCGAATTCAAGGATGGTTTCCTTTACAATAGGCTTTAGTCCATCCAGCAACAATCGTATCCTGGCTGCGGTCTTAGTTAGCTGATAATCTTCAAGTACGCCTAGCTCAATGCCGATGTTGCGTAGCACTTTCTCGTGCCAGAAGTGGAGTGGTATACCTTTGATGTTGATCCAAAAGGGAATTTGAGATGGGAATGAGGGAGAAATGACAGGCTCCCAGCGTTGAATGATGACCATCCATCGTCCAACTTGATACGGTCTCTCGCTCAGAACCCTTTGTAGCTCAGTTTCTTCCTCAAACCTAAACTGGAAGCACTCGTCTCCTAGTTCGGAGCCTAGTACTCTACCCAGCAGGTTCCATCTCTTAGGTAGGTAAGCAAGGACTGTAGCCATATTCTGCTCCCTCGGATTTGTGAGGCGCCCAATTAAAGTTAACGCATTTTCTTGTATCAAAGGAGCCGGATCGAAGTCAGGCGCGCGGATTCTGATGCGACGAGGCTCCATCTGGTTGGTCGCTATGTTTTTCCCTTTTTCCTCATCTGTAAGACGTCTAGCCATATCTAAAGCAGAGGTAGAGAGTCTGAAATTATGGACGGTTGATCTATACCTCTGTTTCAATGCTGCAGGAGGAGCTGAAACTGAAGACTGGAGCAAGTACGGCAAAGTGTAAGGAAGTTCCTGTATAACGCTCAAATCTAGGAGAAACAGAGGAAATCGCCGTAATAATCTTTCTCTGGACGCAAGAGAAAACAGAGGAAATCGTAGGAGATGTTGCAGGGGAGCTTGAGTTACTGTTGCGCAACCTTGAGGACATCCTGGTAGAGAAAGGCTTGCCGTAGGACACTGTAGTCTGGACGCTCAGTGAGGGTTAAGAGGAGTACCAGTCGACTCTTGACGCCTCCTCAATGAGCCGTAGGGAGATTTGGAGACTTTGTGAGAAGAGGGAAGGTCTTAACCAGACGAGGACCTGCCATGCTGAGAGAAACGGAGCCCTTCCGGCCACCGCCGATGAGGAAAACTGTTGAAAGCAAGCAGAAGTGGTTTTGTTGATTACCCAAAACGGCAAAAAACCAGGTTGGTGGGCAAGTCAGAGGGAAAGCTGATTTGAAAACATAACCGGAACAGGAAGTAAACCAGGTGGTTGTAAACCGTGGCTGGCAAAACCGGAGAGAGAGAGTCTGTCTAGGTAAGCGCGCCAGAGAGCATTTTTACCATTTCTTAAATGATATTTTTCATCTTAATTAAACATTTTGACACCGATCTTTAGGGGGGTTTTAAACCCATGTGTCAGCACAAGGTAAATATTTTTTTCTCTCTTTAGTTTATATTTTTTTGTTTCTTCTCTTCTCCGTCTTCTCTGTGAGGATGACATGACAACGTAGTCGTAACCCTAAAGAAACCTCTCCAAATCAATCGCAACAATTCACTAATGATACCTCACCCTAAGCCCAAGAACAAAATCACAGAGAAGACAACTCTGAAAAAGATCGAATCCGAGAATATTCCCATCACCACCGTGATCAAAGTCTCGAAGCTTAAGACGGAGTTGAAAAAGGTAGAGGTAGAGGAAGGGAAGAGGCACGAGATGTACTTCACGGGGAGGAGGTTGTTGCCGCGACGGGGACTTGTAGTGTTGTGGCGGTTATGGAGGGGATCGCTGATTCGATTCCAGGGAAGTGGAAGAATGGTAAGTTGTTTCATGTTAAGTTGCTTGAGAGCTTGGATTTGCCTGTCTATGAATCAGTTTGAATGTTTCGAAGTTTAATGTAAGGTGATGATCTGATTTGTTACAAGTTTTTGGTTAATTTTAGTGAAATTTTCTCTTTATATGATGCTGCAGCTAGTGTTTAGAGTATACATAGACTGTCTAGAATGATTGTATTTGAATGCATTTGTTAGGGTAAAGATAGGTTTTGTTCTTCTGATTGCTACAGTGTGGAGTTTTGGTTGTGGAACATTTGGTTTTGGTCTCTGTGCTTAGTAACAATTATCAAGTCATGTTTTATTATATAAGTCTTTGCTCTGTTTGATTTCACTTGTCTTTACTTCGAGTAACTAGTAGGTGTGTTTTGATTGGTCTATGATTCACGTGCCATGCCTCCTTTACATCTTCAAAACCTTTTATTAGAATCGTGTCCTGAAACAAACTCTCATTGCTAATGCTGCAGTGTATTATCAAGGAGAACAACTTCAAACAGCCTGGAGATAGATACAGATCATGGGCACCAGACAGGTAAATAAGAAGTCTCATCTCTCTCTTGCATAACTCTCACAAAAACTCACAAGACAAAAATTAACATAATGTTTACTTATGGTTGCAGGCAAGACAGGTTTGTAAAGAGATGGGTTGAGATATTGTCAGAGCCACGTCCGCAGCATCTGGATCTCTTACTGGTCTCAGGTAAGAAGAAACTCAGTGCTTCCTACTTTGCTTTTTACACCATTTTTCGACAAAACTAACATTCTAAACAATGTCTCAGGCTGATCGATCTCTGGGACAGAAACTTGCAAGCCGTCTCAACGGAAGGCCAAGCATTTAGAGACTAATCTCTTGTCCTTGGAAAGGTACAATCATGATACATATCTTGTGGAACATTTGATTTTGGTCTCTATGCTTAGTAACAATTATCAAGTCATGATTTTTTTTTAAGAATCCTTATATAAGAAACTTCCAATGTAGCATAAAATCTATCGGTTTCTTAACTAAATTTCTTAACTAACTTTTATTATTAAACAAGTCATTAAGAAACCCAAATGGGGTTATAGGGATAATGATGCTCTAAGTCTACTAAATATATAATGAAAAGAATTCTTCAATTCTCGCCTCCAAGCTTCAGATCTAAGTTTGAACTCGTTGAGATAACTTAGGGATTTTCCTCATTGTTTCATTGTCTTATTGCAGTCACCTGAAACCTCGAGTTCTCTCTCTCTTGTCCGTAGACCTCGAGCTCTCTCTCTTCTCTGCAGACCCGAATCATTCCGAACACGAAAGGTTCTCTCTATCTTGAATCCTCATGTCCCTCATTAACCAGCTCGAAAAGGTCTCACCTTTTATCATCTAGCTTGGCTAATTAATTCTCATGATCTGTTTGACTTTGAGTAATATATCTTGTCTCAAAGCTGGATAGTGTATTGTGTATTTGATAAGGTAAACCTTTTAATCTGAGCTTAGCTTAGGTTGCCTCTTGTGATTGAGAAACTCTTGTACATTGCAACGATACTCAGGCTTGGAGGTTTGATTATGTCTTTCTCTCGCATTGTTCCTATGGCCTATTATCTATGCTCTAGTAGTTTTTAGCATGTTGATGGTGTACTTGGTTAATCTTGAATATAGTGTCTTCAAATTTCAGTTCTGAATTTTTTTTTATGCAATTGCTGTCATGTGTGTTATTAGCCATATGATCATCTTGTCGTGTGACAAATGTCACGAGGAAGTTTCCTGACTAGTTCTAGTTTCTTACTGCGATGTTTTTTTGTGCAACTCCAGGATAAGAAATCATTGACTCTATCCCCAGATGACAAGTAGGATCGTGCAGGAAGAACAAACTTGTAAGTCTACTTTTTTCTTCTTTGTTTCTTATGTATGATTATTACACTGAATGCCATTTGACACTAGTATGTTTCTAGTACTATTTTTCCAATGAGCATCAGCACTAGCATGTCCACCATTAGCACTAGCTCAATGAGTTTGAATTATTGCTAATATTGTAAAGAGCATAGAAGTAAATACATGTACAATTAGCACACGGGTTTATAGGATGTCCACCATTAGCACTAGCTCAGTGAGCTCTCTGTTTCTTTATGTTGTTTAAGTTCAAGTTTAATTAGTATTCTGTTTCTTGTTGTGTTATGGTTTCTCTGTTTCTGGTTTTTGTGTTTCAAGTCTAATCAAAATGCTTGTGTTTGTGTTTCTTGTTGGTGTTATTGTTCTCATTACTTGTTTCATGTCCTTGTTTTTGTTCTCATCATTTGTTTCCTATCTTTTTATTGTTCTCATCACGTTTTTCCTCCTTCTCAGGTGATAGAAGAGTGAATGAGTGGAGCACTGGAAGAGCAATTACAGACTTACTTGTGTAGACTTGTGTAACCAGTTTTTTAAAGAACCCTACTATTAGAGCCAAAAAAACTGTTATCTCTTAAATATGTCTTTTAAGTCACTTTACTTTTAAATTATTAAGAGACCCAAGATGGTAGGGCTGGGCAAAACAACTGAACCCGAAAATCTGAACCGAACCCGATCTGATAAAAAAGAACCCGAACTGATCCGAACCTGACATAAGTACCTAATGGATCTTATTTTATGGTATTTTGGATTATGGGTATTACCCGAACCGAACCCGAACTTAAATGGATATCTGAAAGAATCCGAAACTTTAAAATTTCAAAAGAAACTTGTAACATATCTAATCTAAATTTCTAATATGTTTTCAAAATATATTAATATATTATTGAGTACTTACAACAATTAGTTATGATATAAATAATTAACTCAAATATTTAGTCTAATATATAGTGTTATTTGGTTAATATTTTAATGTTTATGATTGACATTACATTTGAAGTTAAGTTATGAATAAATTTGTTTTGAAGTTTATATAATGTTATTTTTGTAAGTTTAAATAGTACTTCTTACATTTATAGAATTGTTAGTTGTTAACTTTAATTTTTTATGTTTTATTATGTATAATATTTCATTTATACAAGGCTTTGGTTTGTCATTAATCATGATATGTTTAGTGTTGTCACATATAGTTCAATGACAAATCTTATATGGTTGATAGACGAGTTTCATAATATTATTTTGAAGGAGAACAATACGGTTTGTAAAAGCTAAATGTACAAATTTAATAAAATGATTGAAAATATAGTGAGTTTAATTGAGTATAAAATAGTATTTTTAGAACCGATAACCGATTAGTATCCAAAATCGAAACTATTTCGGGTTCAACCGGATCTTGGACATGTTACTAAACCCGAACCGAATCCGACTAAACCCGAACCGAATCCGACCCAAATTTTTATAATATCTGAATGGGGCTGAAATTCATGAACCCGAAAACCCAAAACCCGAATGAACCCGAACCGAAACCCAATTGGGACCCCGATTGCCCAGTCCTACAAAATGGGGTTGTGGGATAATCATGCTCTTATGAAAGTTTTTTATTGGTTATCCCACTGTTTCTTGTCAAGTATAGAAGTCTATTTGACAGACAATACTTGTTACTTATTAGTCTTCTTTCTTGTAGACTTACAAATAAGTCTACTTGACAGAGAAAAATATAACATAAGTCTATCACTTTCGATAACATCCAAAGCAACAATATAGTTTATATGTTCAAGAGAGACTAAAGACCTACAAATCCAATAGAAGACAACTCAAAGCAATGAGACATTAATACATAATAGAACATCCATAGCAATAAGACAACTCATAAGTTCGACACATAACACTAACACATCTAGAGTTTTTCACCATCCATTCTCTGTATACAACGAGTAATTGAGCCATCTCCTACAAAAAAAAAAGGTTTACATAATTAGCAAACACAAATTTCATGTTTGATAAAATTATAAAATAGACTTACAAATACGTCTACAATTATTAGCAAACAATATAATCAAACCAAATTTTTTAACGTAGACTTACAAGTACGTCTACAAATTTTAAGCTAACAACATAGACAAACAAAAAAATTGATAACTTCCTAATTATAACAGATTATCTTCTGAAAATCATTCAAGACCCTTATGATTAACTAACACACACTTTCATAAAATTTTTTTTTTTGAAAAAACTTAATGAATATTACACAAATCCACTTTCGATAGATTTTTCTAGGTAGATTATATATTCAGTCTACAAATATGTAGACGTTTTATTCAGTTTACATTTCGTAGACTGCATATTAGGTCTACGTGTAGGTTGATTTTTGCAATTGCAAAATTCACGGGTTATTTTCTGTATTTGCAAAAAGATGTGATTTTATACGAGTAGACTTCTTTTTAAGTCTACATTTTTTTAAAAAGTTAGTTTTGCAATTGACCAGAATTCGTTAAGTGTTTGACTTTTAGAAGTAGACTTACTATGCAGTCTACATTTTTAAATTTGTTTGAAAGAGGTTAGTTTTGCAATTGACCAAAGTTGACTTTCTACTAGTAGAAAAAACTAAATGTCTACATAACTGTAGACTGCAGTAAAAGTCTACACTATAACCCGACATGTTAGTTTTGCAATTGACCAACATAAAATAGTAGACTTCATATGCATACACGTATGGTAAGTTTTAGTCAGTTTCTAAACATTTTAGTCAAATACAAAAGAAACCTATTCAACGAAGTCAAAGTTTTGGTCAAATGCAAAACTGACCTTCAGTAGACTTCCCTAGCAGTCTACAAAGTGTAGACTTCGAAGAAAGTCTACTATGGTAAGTCAAAATTTTGGTCAAATGCAAAACTAACCTCTTTTATGTAGATTTCTTAGTAAGTTTACCAATTTTTTTTTGTTTTTGGTTTCAAAGGTAAAGACGTTGACGTACTTGTAGGTTTACGTTACAAAAAAATATATTTTGGTCAATTGCAAAAGTAACCTGTGCGTTGACAAGTAGACTGCATCGTAAGTCTACACGTAAGTGTAGACATATAATACAGTCTACTTTCGCGATACAGATCAGAGATATGACGAAAAGCATGTAAATAGTTACCTTTTTCCGATTTAAAGCTTGTTTCCAAGCTTTTCTACCGTCCAGAATCCAAATATGAGCAAAGAAGCACCTTTTACGATTCACTTGTGAATAAAATCGAAAGTATGAAGTTTGTGTTTATGAAAATGAGAGTTATGAGGAATTTTTAGATTAAAATAGAGAGAAAATGAGAGGAAATGAAGTATTGTTGATTTAGAAAGTGAAATAAGTAATTCATATCTCTTGAGCTTAAAGACCTTATCAATGATGGTTTTTGGTGGTTGCAAATATTGATGACAATGACATTATGGTAAATAAGAAGAAATGTTTAGGGTGTAATAGGTTTTTGCTCATTTTCGAAATTTATAAAATATTTAATAATAATGGCAATTTTGTAAATAGTTTAGAAACATGAGGAGGGTTTACGTTTTTCAAGAGTGAATAATATGTTAAAAAAATGGTTAGTTTTGGTTTTGACTACAATTCTTAAGTTAGTTTTGCAAAACCCCCAATATTTTATCAGTTCACTTTGCCGACAGTTCCATTTTCCAAACTACACGATAACCAGTCAAATAGCAATCTCATGATAACTACCTCTACTCCCCTTTTTAAACTCTTATATCGTTAAATTTGTGTGAAGATTTCCCACTACGGATTCTTCCGCAACGTAACTTGTTATTCGTTTCATGTGTGTTTCTACTCTTGCTTCCTCTTTTTGGATCTCACTATTCTCTCTTCCAATATGAGACACGAGGGAAAATGGATTTGATTTTTTTTTTACTTTCTATTTTGTTCCTCTTCAAAAATCCTGTTCTGTCTTTGTATCATTTACATGTTTGAAAAAATTGTATCCCACTGCTAATTAATACTCTCTCCGTTTCAATTAACTTGTTATTTTGGATTTTTCACAGAAATTAAAAAAATATTTAAACGATTCTTATTTTAAAACAAAAATTTTAGTATACAACAATAACTAAATTAAAATGGAGGGAGTATTAGCTAACTGACGCAGATATTGAAAGATGTAGAAAGGCTAAAAAACCTTACACTTTATTTAAGAACTATCAACACAACTAGGAAGATAGTTAAAATATCGTATTTTCTTAACTTTTTAATCACTATGAATGATCATATTTTGCATGGTTTCCATGAAATTGATATTTTTTTGTTGCGGCAAAAGAAATTAAAATCACAACGATAATTTTTTTTTTTTTGTGATTTCAGTGAAACTGCAGCTTTTAGTTTTGTTGACAGGCTATTTGAACATAAAGTCTTGGTTTATTTACTAGGAATTTCGAGAGAAAAAAAGTGAGAGCAGATTTAACATCTATCTTATTAAATCAAAAACATTAGGTTGGACCTAACATTTATTTTGTAAGTTTTTAAATTAAATACATATTTCTACTTTATAGTTAAACCTACATTAAATCACTAATATTCCTTTTTTATATTACTATCCAAGTTTTCAAACAATATAATTATTTTTTTATTCTACTATCTGTGTTTCCAAACAATGTACTAATTTATTTATACTACTATCCATGTTTCCAAACAACACTATTATTAAACTTATATCCAAACAATATAAAATATTAGATCTCACCCTTTTTAATAATTTCTCACAATTTTCTTTCAAATTATTTAGATAAATTAAAAATTCAAATACTATATAAAACAAGGAAGATATACTTATTTTTACAAGTTTAAATATTACATATCAGTTATGCATCAATTCAATCGTTAGTTTCGGGTTTTAGTGATTTCTTAAATAGATATTTTTGAAAACTAAAACTGAATTATCGGATCACCGGTTTAATCACGATTCAGGTTGAATGTAAAAATAATGATTTAAAAGAAAATTTTTTTTTAATACATTAATTCTTTCAAATTACCAAAATATTTGTTAAGTTATTTATGAAATTTTTCATCATAAAATATTTCGCGCTTGCAAAGTTAAGACACAAGTTAAGTTTGAATTTGATCTAACCTATAAAATAAAGGTTAAGGCCAAAAAAATCTAGAAATTTGTATATTATTTTAAAAACTTTGGATAATTATTAACATTAGAAGTAACTAAACTCTCAACTTAATTTTTTTAGCGCAAACAGTTAAGTTTCAATTTGATTTTGCACTTCGAACAAACGTAGTGTTTTCACTGCACGGTTACATTTTTGATATTGCTCTTTAAACATAAATTCGATTGAAAAAACTTGAAACTGTATAAAACTAAATTATATTGAATACATATGAAAAATAAACTCCGCGCTCGTGCGCGGATCATTATCTAGTTCATATAATTGCAAAAAAAAAAATTATGTTACTATCAAAATGAGATTGTATATTTCTTGGTTTATTTACTTACAATGGTATTTAAGTTAAGAAAATATTTTACTATATATATATATATATATATATATATATATATATATATTGTCATCAACTTAAACTGCCTCTATAAACCATAACGGCGGCTCGACATCCATGTGAACAACAAAAGACTGTTGTTTCCTGACACTTCGTGTTAG